TCAGCAATACAGCCGTATCAACAACATGAACAAATATATTACCAGGTCATGATTACAGTGAGTCCGCAAACCATTCAGCTTCAGCAGGAGACTTGAACGTGTTAGTGATGTTGTTGTGAACTACCCGAAGCTGGGCCGGGTAGCGCAGACTGCACGTCGCTCCGGAGGTGCTAAGCTTTTTCCTGACCACATTGAAAGCCATCCACTGCGCAAAGACCTCCACAGCGGGAAAGATGGACAGTCTCTCTCCATCACAGCTCAACGGTGCACATTGACGTGCCACACGTCTTTCTCATGATGTAACTTGGCTATGATAGCCCTCGGTCGCCGGCCAGCCGTTGGTTTTGGTCTAAGGGTGCGGTGTGCCTTCTCCACTTTTATCGGCTTAATAAAGTTGTCTTTCCCCAACACATCCAGCAGCAGAGATGAAAGAAAGTCCGCTGGCTTACCGCCCTCAGCACCTTCCTTCACTCTAACAATCCTGATGTTGACCCGACGCGAGTGCGCCTCTATCTGGCCTAGCTTGTCACGCAGGTTAACGGTGGCCGCCATTAGTTCCTTGCATGTAGCTTCAAGCATACAAACATGGCCGTCCATTGTAGTAAGCGACATCGAGTCGCTGTTCGGATGACCAGATATCTGCCTGGAGGTTAGACAAAGTTGACTCAATTGTGTCAAGGCGGCTCTCCATAGAAGTTTTTAAGCTAGCTATAGCTGCTAATATGGTGTCGATGCTCGCAGAGTTTTCAGCTACAGCTTTCTGGCAGTGTGTTTTTAGGCGGCATGTCGTCCAGTCTTTATTGTAGTTGATGCAGAGCAGTAGTGCTGTTGACTAGTTAAGTAAAGAAGCAGGGTGTCGGGTTAATTGTTGGAAAATAAGAAGAAAAGTGCGGAGCTGAGAAGAGTGTGTCCTACTCCATCAGTGTACACGAGCACGCCCCGGAACCCTGACATTCTGATTCTGATAGGACATCCTTGTCTAATGCCTCCAAACCAAGCCTTAAAGTCAAAACCATAAATGCTCTGTCAATCCTATCAAACTGTTTCTCCTGATCTAAAAATAATTCCAACATCCAAGGTGTATAATTTACAAATATCAGCCCGGCTTTTATCAGAAATAGGCTGCCCATAATCTGTCCAGTTCACAATAGGACCGATCTCTGTGAATGATCAACTCCAGGAAATGTTTCAGCCTATTGGCAAATACTTTGAAAGTAGTTTGTAATCTGTACATAGCAGAGCCACTGGTCTCAGATCTTAAGCAGGGTCAGTCTCCTTTTTTAGGTGGAAAAAATACCGCTGCACCTCCTAAAGGTCAGCTCCCAAACACTTCCAGACATGTTTACAAAAGTCTGCAGGGAGCCCATTCAATCCAGCAACCTTGCTGACCAGCAGCAGCAGCAGGAAGCTCCTGCATAGTCTACTGTTGACAAAAAGTACATATCCCTTTCACACTTCCCCCAAACTGGCACTAACCCACACGCCTTCTTCACCATTGACCTTTCTTGTCACTATTTCTGTGGTAGAAATAAAGTCAACATTAAGCTCTGGAAGAAACAAAATCTCGCTGGTTTAAACAGCAGAAAAATCAGTCAGATGTGACAAAAAAATCAGCTCTTCCACCAAACCACAAAAAAAGTAAAGAAGAAAGATCACCAAGTGCAGCATGCACTAGTGCACGAGTGTAATTATAATGTTATTATGCAGTCTTTAATTTCTTTAACCTTTTCCTTGTTTAACTATAAGTGTCTGAGACTTGTTGTGTGTTTTTTCAGCTAGATCCATATCCACAGAACTCTGCATGTCATGTTATACATGAAGTCGGCATACTTTTGACTTGTTTTGCTAAAACTGGAAAATACTCACTCACTTTACAGATTTTCCAAATCTTTCATTAAGAAAGTTACTAATTTCTTCCAATCTGTAAAATTCCCCATTGCATGACTATATATCTGAGACAGAAACATATTTAGGGTCATTATGATAGTACATGTCTTCTCCTGCAACAGCACCTGGCTCCCTTCCTCCTCACTTTTTAGATATTTAGATAGATAATTAGACAATCTGGAGAATGGTCTCTAAAGACTATTATTAAAAAACACGTGAAAGTATGGCTCTTTAAAAGAGCACATTCCATTCAAAGGGACTGGCATTACAATCATTTTTCACCTACAAGAAAGTGCAATAAAGTATGAATGAGATTTGTAGAACATGCTTTTTAGTACGAGTGGTGAGTTCACAAATTCAATTCAATGTTATTTATACAGCACCAAATCACAACAACAGTATTGTACAGAGAAAAACCCAACAATCATATGACCCCCTATGAGCAAGCACTTTGGCGACAGTGGGAAGGAAAAACTCCCTTTTAACAGGAAGAACCCTCCGGCAGAACCAGGCTCAGGGAGGGGCGGGGCCATCTGCTGTGATTGGTTGGACTGAGAGAAGGAAGACAGGATAAAGACATGCTGTGGAAGAGAGACAGAGATTAATAACAGATATGAGTGTCTGGCTCCTGAATCCAAACTGGAAATTAAGAAGCAGAAAGTTAGCGGCCATCAAGGTCTTTATGTCTTTAAGACATTCCTGCAGTTTAACTAATTGGTGTGTGTTATCTGGCTTCGTGGACAGATAGAGCTGGGTGTCATCAACATAGCAGTGAAAATGTATGCTATGTCTTCTGATGACACTGCCTAAGGGAAGCAGGGGGAGTCCACATCGTTTCTGGGACACCACTCAGACAACCAGCAGTTTAAGGAGAACATGCGGCTAAACATGTCACTGCTGGTCTGATTGGGGAGGGGACCAGAGAAAGCTACAGAGTCCCACATTCTTTTGGCAAAGTTGCACACTGATTCGATATTGATTTTAGTGACCTCTGATTGGCGTAACTGGGTGTCATTACTGTACATTACAGTGAATTATAGTAACCCTCAGCCAGCAGTTTTACATTTCCCTCAATGTCGCCTGCTCTGGCCCCTGGAAGACAATTGACTATGGTTGCCGGTGTCTCTAGCTTCACATGTCTGAGAACAGAATCACCAATTACCAGAGTTTGACCCCCGGCGGGTGTGTCGCCGAGTGGGGAAAAACGGTTAGACACATGAACAGGTTGGTGGTGTATCTGGGGCTTCTGTTTAGGACTATGCTTCCTCCTCACCGTCACCCAGCCGCCCTCTTTCCCCAGCTGCTCGGGACAATCTGCTGTGGAGAGCTAATGGGGACAACTCTACCTTCGTCTGGACTGCCTACGGGGATGTAGCTAGCTGCAGGTTTTCAAGAGTGCGAAGCCAAGCTGCAAATGGGCTACATTTATCACAAGTACCATTATTGATAAAGGAGGCTGAGGAGTAACTAAACATCTGACGCAATGAGCAGGAAATGGACAGATGAAGTGGCGGGTGAATTAATCGAGAATGTCCTTTGGATGAAACACATGCAGAAGGTGAGAAGCCCAGACTTCCCTCTCCTCGGCCACCTCCTCCAGCCTTTCCGGGGGAACACCAAGGTGTTCCCAGGCCTCCTCACCCTATCTCTAAGCAGAGGCCAGCCACACTTCAGGGAAGCTATCCCCGGCAGAAGGAACTGTTCCCTCGATCTTCTGCTCATGGGGGTCCTTTGAATTGTTCTTTGTCTGGTTCCTCACCCAGGACCAATTTGCCATGGGAGACTCTAGCAGGGGGCAAAACCCCCTGACAGGGGCCCTTGGACCCTTCCAGAGGTGTGTCCCTGGGATCCCTGGGACACACAAACCCTTCCACCACGATAAGGTAGTGATTCACGAAGGGGGAAACAACATTATGAAACAGGACATTATGTACAAGTTTTTAATTAAATTGCTTACGCAGATAAGCTACACAAGAACACCATTGTGTGTGTAACAGGAACAGGTTTCAGACAAACAGAGAATAATTATGTTATTGTCTCCACACTTTAACAGATAACTCACACACGTGAGAAGCAGCTGGGCTTGACGTTTCAGTTGTTGTGTTATTCTCAACAACACACCACCTCTGTCTTACTTCAGATTCAGATTAGTGGATGACTCTGCTTTCAGCTGTGTACTCGCCTACTTCTGCCTGGACTCCAGAGGTTACTGCAGAGTACTGGGTTATTAAAGGTTACTTAAACTGGCTTCAGTTAAGCTCTCATAGCCTCACACTGGTAAATGTTGTGACATTATCATTTACATGAAGGAAATATATTCATTAAGTTTCAGTCTCCAGACTTAATCAGGCAAAATTCATACAAATGGCAAACATACAAGCCAGCACTCTTTCTAGTATCAGTATAAATGCAATACAAGTATTATATTTACAGTCTTTAACATATTGAGGGGAAAAGCCCCTGAGGGATGTCTGCGTTTGCAAAAGTATGTTAAAGTGTGACACAAGAAGAATCAGACAGCTAATCTCTTGTTAGCTCAGTTGTGCACTATGTGCTCATTATACCACGCATGATTATTGACCTTATTATGGGAAAATCCACAAACCTCATCTTTAGCACCAAAACATATGAGAAGATAAAAAGACGACAGCAGTGAGGTCAGGAAAGCCTCACGATGTAGTTTTGTATTTCACATACAAACACTTGTCAGTGTGTTGATGCCATGCAACATGGCAGTGAAAGGAATTTCACCTCATGGCACTATGATCACTAATGCTTAATGTTAGTCTTCATCACAGCACAAATACACAGTAAAGTGGTGTGTGGCTGACTTCAAACTCAACACTTTATAACATCCCATTATCTCCATTGTTTCCTCCTTTCATTTTGTGATGCTTTTTGACCGTTTTGTATTTAACAACTGCAAAGTCAGATTTTCACCCATATACATAAATATTTACTGATATATGGTTTGTGTCAACATCTTGTGTCTGTGGGAAAGCTGTTAAATAACCCTGTTTATATAATTTATTGGAAGAAAAAGTCTTTCTTTTTTATTTGTATTGACTTTAACTAGAAGGTACATCAAAACAAACACACACAGATGAGTGCAATGTTATTGATTTATTATCTGTTTGCACAGCAGGTCAGTTAACAAAGACACATGTGGACTGTCCCTCAGTTCAATGAAAAACCTTCAGAATTTAAAGGGAATGTAATCTGTTCCAATTTACTCCCATGTTTGGAGGTAAATGCATTTAAATACAGCATGGACATAAATACTGATTCACCCTCTTTCCCCGAGCACTTAGACTGTGGCTCACAGTGTGTTTTATTCACAATATAAAACAGCCAAGCGTGCTGTTTACAAACCAAACATGGTTTTTGAATGAGCAATCACAGACACCTTCATTGTGCAAATGAGCATTCCTTCACATCCTGAATATATCCTCAGTTATGAACTACGGAGCTTATAATTCATGTCACGTAAAAGTATTTGCAGCTGCTTCTAAATTTGATATTTAGAAGCAGCTGCAAACTGATCTTTCTGAGTTAACTAACCAAAGTATCAATGGGTCTTTACACCACATCCCTACATTCTAGGTCTACTGATGTTCACTGCACCAATTAAAATTATCATTATTAAACCGCAGGCCTTGTAATAATGATACTAAAAAGGTAGATGCATGCTGGCATAAAGGTCAGCGCTGGCTGACAGCATGAGAGTGCCAGCGAGAGCAAATTCCAAGGCTGATGGACAGTAAATGAGTCTGATTGCAGCAATTTGTTCACTGATAAAAAGGCTGCCCGCAGCAACTTCAACTCACAATGTACAATTTACATATACTAGAATATAAATACAGCAGGGAAAAGATTTCATTGATGAATGCTAATGGTAACACACTGCAGTGATAAGTAAAGAATTTTATTTAATCAAAGTTTCATTTGTTTTGGTTTTTTTGTTTTGTCTTTCCAAAAGCCTCTAATTTTTAAACTGATAACCTAACTTTCATTTTTATATTAACAAAAAAATGATATATATGTCATAACAATGGTTACCTGGAAGGAGTTTACGTTTATCTGAGAAGAAAAGAAAGAATGAATCTGAGCAGTGTGCACAAGGTTTCTGAACTGTCTTATTGACAGACACTGAGGTCCTGTGTATGATGTTAATGCTCCCTATACTTTAGACCATGTATATAATCACAAGTCAGTGTCATGGCATAGTGAATTCCTTTTATAACTGACTGCTTGGATTTTAGAAAAGCTCAGAAATTTGCTTTGGCAAACAGTTAACAGGATCAAATGCATACCTGGATCAAACATGAACCGCCCATGGTCAGTACTACAAATGTATTTGTCTCTCAAATATGTCTCCAGTCTGTCCACTGGAACTACTTATCATTTTTAACAAACTATAAACTAGATTCTCTGAAGCCTTTTCGTAAGGGCTCCACCCATGTGTGCAACATATGTTCTTCAGAAGCAACGCAAAGCAGAAAAAACATTCATATGTAGTTATGGATCTTCATTAAAACTGTATAATATATACACTATTTACAATATGAGCTTTAATCTCTCTGTCTAAACACAACAGAACCTATTGACTAGATTTTAGTTTGTACCTGAAGTCTATATCATACGTAGGCTGAAGGATACCCAGGCCAGCACGGGACTGGTCAAGAGGCGGGGCTTTGATACCAGGGTCTAAAAGTTCCATGTCAAAGTAAGACAGAACAAGAGTCAAGAACTGTTTGATCTCATACACAGCGAAAAATCTGCCCGGGCATTTAGTGACCCCAGAGCCGAAGGGCATGTAGAAGTAACGCAGCCGCCGCCCACTGCGGTAGAAAGTGGTTTTCTCCTGACCCTTGTTGTCCAGAAAACGGTCAAACTTATACTCCTGCAGAGTGAAGAGGAGAAAGAAATGAAGAACAATAAAAAAATGCAGTAATTTCTTGGTGAAGAGACTTTTCTTATTTATAACCCATCCGGCTCTTACATAGGGATCCTCATAGATTTCAGGATCATAGTGCAGCAACGGCGGATACAAGGCTATGACATCATCTTTCCTTATGTGGTAAGCTTCTTGGTTATCAAGGTGAAGGAGGAAGTCTTCCTTGGCAACACGCACATTCATAGAAGCACTGGAAAGACGCATGGCTTCTTTAATGATGCTGTCTGTAGACATCAAGGAGACAGACATAAAGCGAATATGTTCATGCTAAAATTCTGAACGCTAGTCTTTTAATTTAGCAATATTAGGTATGTCACTTTTTCTTCTAGTGATCTAATAACTGGGCAAAATAAGTAATCTCACCCAAAACAGGCATGTTGTCCAGCTGGTCCCTGGTGAGGTTCAGTGAGGGGTTGCTGGGGTCAACTGTCTTACCAGAGTCTCCCAGGATTTTCTGCACTTCCTTGTGAGCGGCTTTCATAGCATCTGGACTCCTGCGCAGAGGTACAACCTCTTACTGTGTGTATTTCTTTCACTATTCTGTGCTTAGTGAAAGACGTAGGACAGTTTTTCCAATTTCATTGTACTACTGTACTATGTATGACTGTGCAATGACAATAAAGAGTTATCTTATCTTATGTTATCTTATGTCCTATATTATTTTTATTGTAATAACAATTAGTTTTCTTCAGCAGAAGTTATTGGTATTAGGCTGCGTACTGCATTTTAAATTAATACATTTGTTGTGTTTGAGAAAGGTGTTTATGGGAAAAAAAATATTTGAAAAGCTGCTCAATTTTTAATATTTAGTCATATGGGATGTATCACATCACATATTGTCCAGCACATGTAGATTTCCAATCTAATCGACTCTTTGGCCCAAAACAAACAAAAATATGTAGCCTGTGCAAAGGCATGGCCCATGATAGTACATGTGAGTGTAGAGGGTAAAAATTCATGTTCATGTTAGCGATCAATGTAACACTACAACGTACATCAGCATTACTTTTTATAATAAGTATTTCCTTAGATAGCCGGAAACAACTTACCTCCATGCAGTGCTGGACAATTAGTTTTTTATTGCATGTAATGTGACATATGACATAACTTAACCATAGGTACCCTACTTAGGATCTGTAAAAAAAAAAAGAGCTGTGCTCTCGGATATAAACTGCACAGTGATTGGTCAACAAGACTTTGTGATAAGGTATCAAGAATACTGCAAAGTCTTGATGCATGCTCAGTCGTCAATGTAAGGAAAGCTAATTCTGTTAAAGCTAAATCTGGTGGGAAACATTTCATCTCGCCATTCAAAAGTCTTCAGTCTCAGCTGACTGCAGGTTTCCCCATTGACTAACAATGTCAAAGGTCAATTTCATGATAAGAACTTAGTGATTCAATGTCAATAACACTTATCAATTCAGTTCCTTATCGATTCTCTTATCATCCTTATTGGGTTTTCATTGGCTCCCCTTTGAGAGTCACCACCGTCGCTAAGAAGCATATCAAGAACATTGCATTTGTACAAATTAATTACATGCTGTGTGGTCAAATGTTCGGGTGTTGAAAAAAAAATAAAAGTAATAAAAAAGTAATAAATGTAATAATTACACATCTTACACTGAATGCTTTTCTTAAAAGCAATGCAGTATTTTACTTAATTACTCACAGGAGAAAGTACTTCCATGTTACTCTGTCTCATAATTACCATTTAACAATGTGAACCTGTTGGTCCTACAAACCAAGTTAAGTCCCCATCCTAATTTCAGTTCAATTAAATTTTATTTGTACCGCGTTAAATCACAACAATAAGGTGCTTTATATTGTAAGGTCGACCCTACAATAATACATCCAGAGAAAAAACCAACAGTCATGACCCTCTCTGAGCAAGCACTTTGGCGACAGTGGGAAGGAAAAACTCCCTTTTAACAGGAAGAAACTTCCGGCAGAACCAGGCTCAGGGAGGGGCGGGGCCCTCTGCTGCGACCGGTTGGGATGAGAATCAGGACAGACTGTGCTGCTATTTTCCTCCTCTGACACATGAATTGAAATCAGCTAATTGTAGCGTGATTGCAAGAACCAATAAGCAGGATCTACGGGCAGGTAGAACAGTTCCAAGGAACTGGACTACTGGGAACTGGTTCTCTACAAGAACCATCCATAATCTATACTGTGCAGATAGTCATGGTGAGCACTATTAACAGAGAGCTGAGGAGTGGCTACAATCAGAGCGTTGCAGGATGAGGAATGATGTACCAGTAGGCCCCCTCCTCATTTTCTTTTCACATGAATGACGTCCTTGACTGACGCTCAGACCAGCATACATCCTCATTATTGAAGCAGTGACATGTAGGGGACCACTGATACACGTCAGGGCTTTTTTGATATGATGTTTTTCTGCTTCCCTGGCTGCTGTGTCTGTAGAGATGGTGTCCCTCTATGTTATAGTGTAATTATGATACTGATTTGTATGCACTGGTTTTTCGTACACATAACCTTTTGAATGCTATTACTGATTGAAATTTCACAGCAAAACAATGTCCAGATGAACAGCATCAACTTTCTGGTAATGTCCTGCTACTGTACCATTTATTGCTGTATTTTTCTAATTATTTTTGTTATCGTGTGATGCTTTGCTTAGGCTGCTGCCCCCGCGACCCGGCCTCGGATAAAGCGGATGAAGATGGATGGATGGATCGTGTGATGTTCGTACACAGAGTAAAACTCACGAGACTGATTAGACACACAATTTGATTTACTATTCCTTATGGCTTTTCATGAGATAGCCCATTACCAGCTTACCTGATCATATAAAAGAGACTCCAGAAGGTAGCAGGCAAGGTGTTAGCCTGTGAGGCCCAGAGCAGAGCAACATGGGTCCTGGCTTTGCTGATGTCATTGAAGGTAGATAAGGAGTCATTCAAGATCATCCTCATGGAGATTAAATCAGACACATTCTCTCTCTTGGACAGGTGTTCAGCATGCATGGTCTTAGCTAGGTTCTACATAAGAGTGTAAAAAAAAGAACATTCAAACATATTAGAGGATGAAAATGTTACAAATGGCTCAGAGGCCTTTGACTCTGACAGCCTACTAACCTCTCGGGCACTGTAGGCACTTTTGAACACGTGAATAGGCAGCCCGGCCACAAGTGCCGGGAAGATTTTGTCAAATTCTTTGAAGTTCTCCAAAGCATTGAGCACCAAAGCTTTCTGGGCTGCCTGCCGAGCCTGACACTTGTCTTCACCAAGCTCTTTACCAAACAGAGTTAGGTAACCAGATTCAAACATCACCTGAAGAACAGCAGAGCACAAACTTATAAATGACTATTTCAAGGGTTTTTTACTCACATATGTGGCATGAATTGTGTCCCACCCTGAGTAGAGAATATAGGTTTAGAACCTTTGTAGTTACTACATCATGACTATTCAAGAGAAATGTATCTTCCAGTGGCCAAAGCTTTCACTCTAAATTCAAGTTACTGACCTTATAGCAAAAGGCAAATATGCCGTCCACCTGCCAGTGGTCCTTGCTTGGGCTGAGTGTATCTGATTTCAGCATGACATCCTGAAGGTGCCCCATCATTGTCTCAATAAGGGAGGGAAGAGCCTCCCCCTGTAGTGTTTTCAGAAACGTCTGATGGAGGTTCTCTGTGGTGTGGCCATGGCGAGGATCAAAGCTGTCATGACCAAACGCCTTGTAAAGAAAGAAGAGCTTCAGGACTATCGAAAGATCGACCAATACAATGAGAAAGTGGATCAAGAAAGTGTCCTAACAGACCATATGATGTATTCATATAATATATCTTTTATAATAAAAGATCAAATCACGTCATAAAATTACCTTGACAGATGTAGCAAAATGGAACTTCCTCCAATCAAGGTGTCTTCCCTGCCTGATGACTGAATGGTAAGAGAAGGGGTCGCACAGGAAGTGGATGTACCTGCCTGCAATTTTGCAGGTGAAAATGTGACCGTACTTTTTCTGGCGGCTGCGGAGGAATTGAAGTGGGTTGGCCCCGAACTGGAGAGCACAACCTAAGTAGGGGATCAAACCATTTTCAACTGCTGGCTCACCTGGTTGCCTGAGGACAATGACAAGAAAGAGATCACAGAGATAACTCACTTTGTTGGATCTCAGTTGTCTGGATCGAATTCTGTAACTTCCGGATGAAAACCCTTTCATTTGTCTGGCATGTGCGTCAATGATTTCTTCAAGACTTCGGCTGCACTGACGTCTTTAGACTGATTTTGGCAGCAGCACATATTGTGCATTTCATATAGTTCAGCTAATTTAGTAATAAATTAATATCTCAGTATTATTAAGAAGTCATTATTTTACAAATACAGGTAAGTTTAAACTGAAATGTTCAAATAAAACAACGAATCAGAGAGAGCAAAATGTTGGCTGCATCTCAACAACAACTCCAAAACTTTGCAAACCTACAACTCAGGAGTGATTGTTGACATAGTTACATAGAAGTCACCTCTGTGTTACTCATGTATTTGAAAATAATAATCATTCTTCTTGTGCATTTCTATTAAAAAGGTTTCTTCTTTTTATGTGCTGTAAGCTGAAAATTAATCAAAATCCTAACATTCCTGTCAGTGTTTAATTCAATATATGCAGAAGTTAAGTAATATACTCAAGCCCAAATTAAGATTCATGTCCTTCATTACATCCTACATGCTCTTTCTTAAGTCTTACCTGCGTCTTATCCCCACAGCAAGCCAGAGGAGGCAGCAAAATCCCACAACAACTGCCCAAATCAGAGCAATGCTTATAATCATGCTGATGATGGTAGAAAGATCCACACAGCCGAGCCCACCCGTCCCTGCAGAATATGTGAGCAGCTTCTGTGCTATTGAGAGTGACAGTTGTGTGAGAACAGCAGCATGCAGCAGGTTTTTTTATACTTCCTTTGAGCCTCTGGGTGGGTCTGATGATGTCGTCACCAGATACATCTCAACAAGGAACCAGTTAGGCGTTTTCATTGTGCAAGATAAATAAATAAGCAATGAAGTTATTAAGTTAATTTTATAAAGAAGAAGCAAATTTATTTTCTTGGATGTGTGTGGATTTTTGTTTACATGTTGTATTTATTTTGTGCTGTCCGAAATCTGTGGCTAAAAACAGCTCTCATCTTAAGTTAAAAGTCTTTTATGATGCATTTGTTTTTAAATTTACAGAAATTTTGCAAGAATATTAGAATAAGAATATTTACATTTTACATGAAAACTTCAAACAGCAATTTCTTAGAAATGTACTGAATAAGTAACATGTTTATATTTTCTGAGAAATAGGATTCCAGGTATACTTTGTGTGCTTCTGTGTGTGTGTGTGTGTGTGTGTGTGTGTGTGTGTGTGTGTGTGTGTGTG